CTCTCTCTCTCTCGCAGACAGCCTTGGTTTTTGCTGTGTAATGAGCTCCATGAATAACAGTTCTCCTAACATTAGTGAGACAATGAGAGTGTGAATACACAAGTAAGATGTTCATCATTATCAGTCACTACTATCTGTGCACCTCTGTCTGTCTGTCTGTCTTTCTGTCTGTCTGTCTCTCTCTCTCTGTCTCACTCTCTGTACCAAAGAAACATGTTTTATTTGTGTGTAGAACAACATTTGTAGGCTAGTGCATCTCTTCAGAGCTACAGTACAGTACATATATAACATAATATATATATATATATTATAATGCTGCTGTCACACGTTTCACCTTTACCAGAACATTGCAGCTTTTTGTGATTTGCATATTGAATTTGGCCATATTGTGATTTCGATAATATTTACAGGGGTAGCCTGTTTTATTTCCCACGGCCCTGAACGCATCAGCAGACAGAGTGCAGCAGTTGTTTGGTTTCTATTTTAGAAAAGGGAGGATGACAAATGTTTAACAACGCGAAGATTCCACTTGTGCATTTTGGTCACTCCTCCCTTTTCTAAAAATTAAAAACCAAAACACTGGCTGCCACTATGTCTGCTCGAGCGTTCAAGGCCCCGTGGGGAAAGAAAACAGGCTACCCCGGTAAATATGATCGAAATCACCCATAAGGGCCAAGCAAAGAGGCAAAGCCCACAAAAAGGCCAATGCTGGAAAAGGGGAAACGGTGTGGACAAGGGCAGCAGGAAAAGAGAAAAGTTATACTTAGTGTCTTATGTACATCGTTTTCAGTTGGATTCAGCAAGCTCTTGCTCACTCATCTTACACGTGTGACAGCGTGACACATGATCTAGTATTGTCGCCAATCACTTGAAGCTCGTAATCATTCAAAATCCTTTATAAAAGGCTTGGAGTGTATCTAAAAATTTCACAAATCAACTCACTTATGTATCTATAAATATTCAAATACCTTCCTTCCCTAACTATTCTGTTAGGTAATATGTCAGGTGGTACACATTTAAACCAAAAAATCTATTCTCCCTTATTATTTCACGCGAATTAATATTAACACAGAAAAGAGATTAAAAAGATCAACTAAATTTCACAATACAATCGAAAAATAATAAATTCCTAAAATGATGTAGAAAATATAGACAGACAAGATAATCATGTGTATATCAGATTATCTTCCTTATCCCATTAAGATCACGCGTACATCTATCAACCCTATCCAGACCCAGACCAGGGGAGCTCAAAATAACACATTCAAAAGACAAAAATAAGACACACTAATATCGACAATCTACCATGGAGGGAACATTTATCGCTGTATCAGAAAGATATCGAAAGACAACCGATACAGAACAATACAACGTAACATACCACTCGTATAACAGGGTGGTAGTCGCTACTCAATCGACCGCACAAAAACAGCGTGTGGTCAGAGCCATCAGCTCATAGCTGATTTATCTACATGCTTCGCTGATGAAGACTGGGAACAACCGATGTAATGCCAACTCGAGGTATGTAAAGTAACGAGTTACACATGCAAAAAAAACTTTCACCCAAAGGTGGGACGCCTATCGATATTTGAATTCATTCATTCTCGAACAACAGTGGTACAAGAGATAATAAAAAAGTGTCAGAGGTGATAAAGGACTTATAACAATCATGCATCAACGATAAAACGAACATTAAAAAAAGGAACCCCATCCACCACAAAACTTGTAATCAAATCTGAATAAGTGTATTCACTGAAGAAGATATTGGAAAACCTTAAATATTTATACATATCAACCTAAAACGATTCAACTCATCATAAGAAACTCATACTAAATAAAATAAAAAATATTATATCAATCATATATACTACTTATTTTATTATTCTCTCACTTCACTCGTACAAATTCATCTCTATACTTTTCATTTGAAAGAGGAATATTTAGAATGTGGAAAGAGAATCCAACAACCAACTCTCAGAACCACAATTCAACTACACTTCTTTTAAACACTCACGAGTTTTTACTTACTTTATCTCCATTTCATACACTCTACCCACATTCATTTAAAAACAACATCTATCTCTTTTGAGAGAATAAAGGAAACACAATAATACAAGAGACTATCAAAAAAAATATAGAAATACAAATCAGAAGGAAATTAGATACACAAGATGAGACCGGAATATAAACAAATTACTTGACGCCAAAACGATTTATACCTAAAAAATCATTAATCCACTAATATTCTATTAGTCATAAATTACAACACTTCCCATTCAACAACTATCTCTATCATCAAATCTATGCCCACATTGAATTCATCCTTATCCCTAAGTGATCATCAAACCACCATAACTTTCTCCCCCTCGAGATGAAGAAAACAAAGAAAAACTTGATACAACTAAATGATCACGGATACTTCTTCTACATGTTTGATATGTTTTAAGTGAAATTACCAATTGTTATATCAATAATGAAATAACAACAACACGAACCTTCTCATATTTGGCTTAAAAGGGCTCCAAACTACCCATCAAGTACATAATATCACCCTTGGGAGACTCTGCCTCTCGCGGCGCGC